CTCTAGTCAACAGCGTTACAATTGAAACAGAAACTTCTGTGGGCCAGAGGCGTTGTGATTATTTTGAGGAAGGGCTGCATGCCAGGTCACTCTTGTAGGGAATGTTCTCCTCTACCTGCTTGTGGTTTGGATTATGGAAAGATTCTGATTTTTATAGTCGGCTGCTGGCAGAAATGCAGGCATTCCCATATTTCAGGGGTTTGCTGAGCATGATAAATCATTACTGAAGAAGATAATAGCTCGGCTAAAAAGCTTTTCTCTGTAGGACTCTTATTTGTAGTGCTTTGAAAGAGAATCTTCTGGTGGGTGGATGGGAAGGGTCAAGACTCGCTAGTTATTCCTCTAGATGGGAAATGATGAAGCTGCCACAGTGATTTTTGCAGTTCTGACACTATAATGTCATAGAGCAGATCTGCTTTTGCTTCCTAAATTAGAATTTTGTTGTGGATTTCTTTTTAACTGGGTTATCTAATCTATGGGCTGGCCTAAAAGTTATTTCTCTTCATGAGAACTTCTTATTTTTCTCATAGCTGTGAAATAAAAAATGACAGCTTGTTCATTCTAAAATTAATAAAAATGCTGTTAAGTTCTTGACCCTCCTAAGGAGAAGTAACTATGAGAACATCCTTTGTCTTGGTGTTGCCTTCCATGCTTATAATGATTGTTTTTGAAAGTTTTCAGTTATAGCAAATCAAAGTCTACTTGCTAAGAGTGAACATGACAAATGATGGGAAATTGCATATATTTTATCCTGACCTTATTATAACGTAAGCTCTCAAAGACTTCAGTGGAAGAATTAAATCATAAGCCTTCAGACTCTCTTTTTTTCATCACAAATGGGTAGGTTTGCAGATGCAGTTAAGACTTTGCAGGAGCAGCTGAAATCAGATTTACCCATGCTACAGTGCGTATTGGCATTGGAACTAGACCACCAACATCTTTTTTAACAGGAATGCTAGGAACAAAATAGATTTCAGGCCAAGATTTGACTTTGAAAAGAGGAAAGCGATCATTATTTATTGTAGACTGTAGCTTGGGTTTGAAAACATTTCTTTTATAGTCAGTTTTAGTTAATGCAGGTTGCTGAAGAAAGAAAATATCTCCCTCACAAAGGAACACATGGGAAATAATAAGCTTATTAATCGAATGCATGAAACCTGCTCTCCTTGCTCTCCTTTGCATGAAAGAAGGGCCTATGCTGTGCTGAATAAAACTTTCCCCTTTGCATGCTGATGTGTTATCCACGTATTGATGTTACTGCTTCATTAGGAAACCTAACATTTGAATCTCCATTCTGGCAGCAGAACCCCTTTCGTTTACCAAGATTGGTCTGAGGAGTAAAAGTGCCAGCAGACTTGTTTGTGAGAAAGAAATGGAGAATCTTAAAAAGCCTGAAGTTTTAAGCTGAGGCCATTTTTCTTGAGTTTGTTTTACATTGAACCTTTTATTTCTTGCATTAACTTTGCATGGTGCAATTAACAAAAACTTGAGTGAATTTCCAGTTTCATTGTATTTGACCCAAGTAAGGATCAAAATCCATTGTACTTGTATAAGAAAGTATCTTATTTCCTTTCCCATAGTGTAGCTGCTTAACATGTATATTTAAGAGTTTGCGAACATTTTTCATTCATTTTGGATGTTCAGCATCCAACATTCACAGAATTCACTTCCTGGAAAATGTTAGGTAGAAACTCTGAACATTACATTCATGTCCCAATATATTATTTTTTTTTAAAATGTTACAGTCATAGTATTGTTGTCCTGATTTCTCTGACATGTCTGTAAATGAGTAGCAGCTCTGTAAATGGAGTTATATTGTACTCATCCTACGCCACTGGCAACAGAAGCACAATTAAGTTCCGAACAGGAGGGTGTATGTGGGAGAGTTGAGGATAAAGTGAATGCTGTATTTAAAAACAAACAAACTGGAAAAAAGTTTATCTTGTTCAGTGCCCAGGCAGAATTAATAAAAAATCCTGAAAGTATTCAAAGAAAGGAGAAATTTAAAAGTTCTGGATTTTGTTGGGAAATAAATTCTGAGCAATGCTTTTAGATTTGGCAAACAAGCCATTTCACTTGTTTCAAGCAAAGCCTTTTCCCCAAAAGTCCATGAACTGGAGCACTCACCTGGGCTGTTAGGATGAAGTTGACATCCTGAATGAACCAACACCTTCCACTGACTTCCAAGAGAACCTTGTCGGGCTGGTTGGAGCCCTGTTTTGATGTGGCTTGCCTCAGGTTTCTGTTGCCCCCGCTGATCTGCAGTGTGTTAACAGTTCGCTCAGTGTTTGAGCTGGAGCCAGACTTTGCAGCGAGGTCATGGACCACGGCCCGGTACTCAGGTGGCTCCATCTCAGGTGGGTGCTGGAGCCTGCGGGTCACGGCTCACGCGAGGGCTCTGCATAGGCTCTGAGCTCTGGGGGATGCAGGATGGCTTTGTTCACACCGATACACTCGCTGCCTGTATTTTTTTCAAACTGCTGTTAAGAACCTGTCTGAGAAGAACACAGGTTTTTTTTCCAAGTCTGTTCAGTTGGCTGCGTGCTCAGACTGAACGCCACTTCACCCTGCACTGGGTTTGCGTTGCTGTGCATGTTGTGCTAACCAAGTGTGCAACCAGCTCTTCTACTTTGTAGTTATATCCCTTACCGGTAATTTTCCATTTGTCACTCATATTATCTGAGTCCCGTTACTCCTTGCAACTCAGTTTTTCTGAGAAAGTAAAGGGCTCCTGCCCATATTGATCAGTACACTAGGTTCATCCTTGGACCCAGCTGTATATTTGTCCTAAGCATGTTCATGAATCACAGGCAGCTCTGATCATTTATGAACATGAGTACACTTTGTGTTGAGATTTGTTTAACATGATTAGGCTAGAATACCTTTGGTTTAGGAACTTAGTGTTGAAAATACTGCGAGTCTCCAGTTTCTGTAGAAGTATCCCAACATTGAGATGGGAAATTATTATTTTTTTTAAAAGAAGCTATACAAATTAATTGTAAATGATGCACAATTGGGATTTTAGTGAAGCTTTCATTACTTTGCTGGGCATCTTCTGTGGAAGGCAGGCTGAGACAAAGGCTTGCTTGTTCTAGGTTTTCAAAAGGAGCGTGGTGCAGTGTTGCAATGGGAAGTAGATTTTGATGGGTAGGAGGACTTCAGGAAATACAAATAATAACAAAGCAGCGGTGTATGGTAACAGGCATTAAGGAAAAAGCAGTGGTGCACAGCTTCTGAAAGTAGAGGGAGTAACATTTCCAGCAGCTTCTGAAGTAGTTTTTACCTTCCTTCTTCTCTCGTGTCCGTGGGCAGGGTGCTGTGATGGTGGGTCACTGCTTCCCCTTGCACTGGGAGTCACTGCGACTCCTGCGCTGTCACTTCTTCAGTCCTTCTTAACCCATCAGATTGCATTTAGCAGGTTTGAGCAGAGCAGCTCGAGGACCAGGTGACATTGCTGTTTGGGGCATTTGGTGGCTTGCTTTTCCTTCTGTACTAGAGTAAAACAGGAGTAATACCCTGGAAGTCAGCAGACTGGCACTAGGTTAAAAGCAGTACAATTCCTTTCTGTGTCTGTAATCTGGTTCTTGCTTCCTTCCAGCTCCATGTGGGTAGTTTGCCATCGGAAAAGGACTAGCAAAACTGGCCAGTATAATAGTTATTGGTTACTAAGAGAGTCCTGGAAATCTTCTGACTTCAGTAATATTTTTTAAAGTGTCGTTAATTCCTACTATCCCACTTTGTCCATAACCACGTGAAATGACTGAGTTTATTATTAAGGAGTCTCTAATACTCTTAGAAACCCAATTCTATGCTAAGTCAGAAAGATGTATGTGCTTTAAATCTTCAGTAGATCTGCTTTGGATCAGAGGAGGGAAGTTAACAGAGCTGTATCTTCACTGAGAGCTGAAAGTGAAGTAAAACAGTCCCTGTGTGGTTGCAGCGGCTCATGATTTACAGGGCTGAATTCACAGGGCTGCTCCTGCTGCTGAAAACGCACGCTCTCAACCGCTGTTGATTTTTGAATTAAAAAAATGCAGCTCTATACACAGTTTACTTTATTGCTAGAGGGCAGAGAAATATAGGTAAGAGCCGTTAATCCCCAGCAGGCTGCTGGGCAGGCGAACAGACATAGATGACAAAAGTTAATTGGAAACATGAGCAGTTTAACAGAAAACATATTTGTGATAATTGAGAGAGTAACGTCTCCAGAAAGGAAACTCTGCAAAGGGAAACTGCAGAGGAGAAGTGGCCACTGGTAGGTGAGTGTGATTTTTCAAGCTCTCTGAACTAATTTCTTAACAAGAACAAATAACATTAAAAAGGAACTAAATAAATAAAAGATTTGCTTTCTCTGAGGGGGGAGGGCTGTACAGTTACTGCCACTAGTTTCTTTTACAGCTGGATTAAGATATGTGGTAATACTTAATTTACGTTCAATGCATAAGGACACAATTGGTTTTATTTTTGTACATGGAGTTTTCTTCTACCTTTTGCATATGAAGATCTTGTATCCCCCCCCAATAACTGAAAGGACTCCAGTTTTAATTTGTTCCTTACTCCTACTTTTTTTATATGTTTGAGGTTTTTCTAAGAATTGAACTTGGACAGCAAGTATTTTGCCAAAAGCAGAGGGAACCCCTAGTTAGCAAACAGTGCTGTGTTTTTGCTAATGAAAAAGCATTATGAACTTAATAAGGGAAAACACATTGTGAAAGACATTTTGGGTTGCACTGGAGAGGATTTTTTTTTTGTGTGTGTGAAACAGCATGTATATATAAATTACATAATGGGAGTTCGTTACTCTTCTACTTTGTAGGAAAAGAAAACTGGATTTTATTTTCTTTAAGTGATACTGATGTTGAAAGTACTGATAAGTGTCTATCTTTCTACTGTTATTACTGTAAAGTTCCTAATGTTTCATTACAGAAAGAATCTCAGACTAGCTATAATATCAGGTACTACTGTGTTGGATTTTTGGTTGTTTTTTGTTTTTTTTCCAGAGTCCGCAGACAGTACAGCCTCCCAGCCCACAGGAATGAATGAAAATGTCTCATCCTCGGTTCAAAGCTGCAGCAGTACTGTTAGTTGCAATAACTCATCAGCCATCCCTCAGCCCAGCTCTGCGATTAAACCTTGGCGCAGCAAGTCCCTTAGTGCTAAGCACACAGCCACGTCTTCCATGTTATCCGTAAAGCAGCCCATATCGGAGCCTCCAAAACCACCCTTGGAAATCGCCAAAACAACTCCCAATGGTCAGAAATCCATGCTTGAAAAATTAAAACTCTTCAATAGCAAAGGCGGCTCCAAAGCAGGAGGGACAACGCTTGAGTGTCCAGGGTCTCAGGACAACAGTTGTGAAAAGCTGGAGACACTTCTCAGCTTTGAGGAAAGTGAAGAAATTGATGCCGTGAATCAGAACATGAACAATCCGGGATCAATGTCCAGTAGTCCCAAAATTGCACTCAAGGGAATTGCACAAAGGACTTTTAGTCGGGCACTAACTAATAAGAAAAGTTCTCCAAAGGGTAATGAGAAGGATAAAGAGAAACAGAAAGAGAAAGAGAAGGATAAAAGTAAAGACATTGCAAAGAGAACATCTATCACTGAAAAGCTGGACCTGAAAGAGGAACCAAAAGAAGAACAGACAGCACTAGCAACAACAGAGATGCCAAAAAAGTCCTCCAAGATCGCAAGCTTTATCCCTAAAGGAGGAAAGCTGAATAGTGCCAAGAAGGAGGCTTCTGCCCCTTCCCACAGTGGGATACCAAAACCAGGAATGAAAAACACCACAGGGAAATCCTCAAGTGCCCCCGCTCCTGCAAAGGAAGGCGACAGAAGCCGCAGCGGGAAAGCTGGCTCGGGGCTCTCTCATCAGAAGTCTCAGCTGGACAGCAGGCATTCCAGCTCCTCATCCAGCCTGGCCTCTTCAGAAGGAAAAGGTGTAGGAGGCCTCAACAGCAGCAGCAGCAGCCAAGCTGTCAACGGCCCCACCGCGACGACACACACCACAGGGAGCAATACTGTGAGTGTTCAGCTACCTCATCCCCAACAGCAATACAGCCACCCGAACACTGCCACGGTTGCTCCCTTCATGTACAGGTACGGTGAACTTCTCCAGCGGACTGTTCTGAACGTGACCTTAGGTAGGAAGGTTCATTTTGGACACGCTTTCAGGGGGGTGAGGCAGCAAAATGAATGCCATGTCATGTAAATGTTTCTTGCTTTAAGAGAGTAGGCAATTAATACAAAAACTGAAGGTGAAGGCAATCAGACTAAGATGTACAAAAAGCTATGATAGATGGGAGGGTGAATAATTGTTGTATCTGCCCTTACTGACAGTTAAGATGAGAATGCTAGCACCTTCTCGATCAGGTACTGCTCTTTACCTGGGTTTGTACTGTGTGGATTAGATTTGTTTTATGCATCATCGTAGCTTTAAAAGTTGTAGGAATGCAAATTTACGGTGTATATAAATTCAGTCTCTTCAGTGAGGCTAACAGTGGTGGAGCTGCCTCATGATAAGCAATAATGGGAGATAATAAAAAATAAAATAAAAATAAAAATCCCTTGGTATGGGTGATACCAGGCACGATGTCTGCTGTTCTGTGCATCAGCCCTGAATGAGATAGGCAAAAGAACAGGCATATGAGATTACATCTAACCTCCATCTAGTCCAGTATCTTCTCTTTGACAATGGCAGTAGAGGATACTTAGGGAGGAATAACAAGATGGAAATCAATAACAAAGCTTCCTAAGGACATGCTCCCCAGTCTGACCATGACGCAGGAAATTCCTAAGTCAGAGGGTGGGATTTTTGGTTTGGCAGCCTTTTCCTAGTTTTCTTTGACACCACTTGATTCTTTCATAGGAAGAGAATTCAAGTGGTTGTTCTGTCTTCATCATCTAATTGCTGCTCGTGATTTGAAAGCCCTCTAGCATATCCTTCCCTCACTTAAGATGTATCTTTTCTAGGCTAAATCTGTTTAGTTTTTACTTCTACAGATGCTGTTCCTAGCCTTTGGTCATCTTTGTCACACTTTCCCATAATTTTTTCAGTTCTACTATACACATTGTTGCCTTTGATCTCTTGGCAGATGTAGCATAAGAAATGTTTGGCTACATTTTTTAAATAAAAGTGAATGTAAATGGAATGAACCTAAAGGAGAGGGATACCAAAGGCCAGTGTAGGAATGTAGAATGGAAAGAACAACCCTTGAGTCTTCTGACCCCTTGAGTCTTTTCCCTGTGTGTATGGAATGAAATGCCAGGTGTCCTTCTGGGATGCAGTCACATGAAGAGGAAACAGTTGGGAAAAATTCATCTGACTAAAATTTGTACTAATAGTACGTGTTCTTGATTTCATTTGCTCTTGCATTCATCTACGTACATCAGCATTATTGCTGCATCTTGGGCTGAAAGTGGGATCTACTACCAGTAATTTTTGGAGACTTGTTTTGAATTAAAAATTGCCAGAGGAGTTTGTACTATTTTAATCCATAATTAAATAGAAAATTGTGACTGCAAACTGATTGCTATGTTGTTTACCCCTCATAAACTCCAAAAAATGTGTTCATGATGCTTTGGGTTGTTGAGTTTATCACTACAGTGTCCAATCAAAAGACAAAGTAAAAAAGCACTCTACTTGGTGTTCATCTTACTTTGAGCATAGAAATCATCATCTAAAGTGTAAAAGCAGATATAATCCATATGTTTTCTATAATCTAAACATACTGATAAACTTCAAGTAGTATTTATTGGACTTTTTACAAAAAATAGTGGTGAAACTACCTATTGACAGCTGGAGGAGATACTGAGAAATTGAAAAATAATGTTTGCATTGGAGGAAAAAAGGCCAAACTGTGTATTCTTGGTGACGTTGAAAGAGAAAAGTAAAATTGTATTGATTTGCAAGGCAAACATATAGCATAAGTTTACTATCCAGACACTTTTTTGAATCTACAAAATGCATCTGCAAAATACATTGCATTAGTAGTCTCAGGATTTTTTTGCTATCCGTTAAGGTTACTTTAATTGAATTTCTCAGCTGCCTGTAGACTTCTTGTTTGAGAGTTGACGTGAAAAGTTGTTCTACATTTCATATAGGGTCAACTGAAAATCAGAATATTGCAATAGTCATTCCCTGCTGTGTCTTCACTTTTGTACAGCACTTACCCTTTGGACAGGAGAACTTCCAGCCGCTTGTTGATGTGACTTGATAAGCAAAACAGTGCAGCTAGTAAAATGAAATGACTCAAGATACATTACTCAAATCTGACAATAGATTCTTACGACCTCACCTTTCATTATCTGACAGCCACAATGTCAGCCACTACATTGGATTTTGAAGTTGGTTTTACCCAGTCCTTTATTTTAAAATACAAATGAGTGACATTGCTTGTTATTGAAAGGAAACTAGCAGGAATGTAATGTCATTATGCACTACCTGCTTTATATTCATGCAGTACAGATTTTATTAGAGAGGATCACATTAGCCACAACAACTGATGTTATTGATAATTAAAATTTAGCTGGAGACCCAAGTGTCTTAAGACCCTGTCTGAGGAGCTGTGAAGCTTATCTTTGACTATGAATTTTTTATTTTTTACAGCTGAGTGCTTGTTTCCATTTCTAGGACATAATTCAACATGGGACTAATGAATTATGTAAAATCAGTCTGCTAGTCTATTCTGTAGAGAGGGACAGAATGGCTGATGGCAGGTGCAATTGTCTCATCATTATACTTGAGGTGCTTTTGATGGAGAGTGACTGCACATCTGTGTTTGGTTTTGCCTTCCAGATCGCAGACAGACAATGAAGGGAATGTAACAGCCGAGGCCAGCACAGGAGGGGTCAGCATGGATTCTGCTCTTTATGTCAAAACTGGACAGCCTGCTCTTGAAGACCTCTCAGGTATGGCTTGCAGCGTGACCCACTGATTGTGGTCTGGTTGAAGAAGAACGGGCTAAAGCAAGTGTGAAGTCAGGAACTCTCTTTAAGGGGGGGATTTAATTTGGTTTTATTCCTAATGCTTTAGTGCTTATTAGTTACAATATCTCTTCCAGCTCTTCAGCAGTGGAAACCAGGTGTCAGTAATCTGAATACTAGATGTCCAAGTTCTGACAATTTTGTGCTCCCCAAATTTCCTGAAATCATTAGGAATTCTGGGTACTTAATGTTTTTCTAGGGGATGTGCAGTACCTTTTAGGATTAAGCTATTATAAGGATCCAAAGTATTTCCAAGCATTTGATATTTATTTTTTACTTTATAAAACCTTGCTTCAGAGTTTACAGAAGTGATTAAGTTAATTTCCTTGATGTTCTGGTTCGTTTGTAGGCTTGGAGGTACTGACTCACATGAATATGATCAATTTGAGAAGTGATATTTGCAGCAATAGGAGGCCAAACTCCAACTGTAATTTACTGTGTCCAGCATACAGAAGCTGAAACCGATTGTAATTAGGATACTAGCAGTCTAAATTAGGAAGTACTTCATATGTTCATCTAGAATTCCTGCTACTGCAAGAAGTATATTATAATTAGCAATATTTTTTTAGCTTATCAATATAAAAAAGCAATTTTTAACAAACCTATTCTACTAAAGATCTGAAATGTGTTTTTAAAATCACAGTTAAGTCTTCTCCTATTCCCATTTCAGTGTTGTCTATGACTTTGCTTACTGCATACTATTGCAGTTTATCTCATCAATAGAATCTCTTAAGTTTTTTCATCTATGTAGTTTTGATGTCCTCCAGTTTTATGTGAGTTTTGAAACTGATTGTCCTGCTTGGAAAAAACATGTGGCTAAACGTTTCACAACTGGATTCGTTTCATACTGTATTACATACTCTGTCATTGCTTCATTTATACCTGTGTGCACGTGTACTGATGGCAAAGGCAAGAGGGAGAGTCACTGGTGAGGAAAAGGGCTGCAGGAATGCATAAATTTTATATATCTGTGTATACGATTTATATACAGGTGGATTAAATATTTTAAAAGCAAATAAATGGCACAATGGATAAAATCCTTGAGAACATTTTTGGGTTCATATTTAAATATGAGAGCCAGTTCAAAGTAAGAAAAGCACAGTGTCCAGTTGCTTAAACTTTTTCAGTATTAAATCTTAGGCATCATTTTGCCTAGCGTAGATGTATTTTAGACTGTAAACTGAGAAGTGTTTATAGATCACAAAAGGTCTTTAGTCTTTAATGACAGATGTTATTAAGTATAAACTATTATTCAAGTAGAATATGTAAGTTTTGGGATCCAAAAATGGAAGACAGCTGACAACCTCCAACAGTGGAGATGCAAAACCCAGCTGTGTGCAGGCAAACCCCACAGACAGCAGCAATCCATAAAGGGGTCTTAGGGGAAAAGAAGCAAACAAAACAAAATGGTCCCTCAACCCAAATTAGTTAGAAGAATTAAGGGACAGATTTCTTCTCTCCCTACATAGTAGCTATTGATGCTTTTAATTTAAAAGCACATGTAAAAAGCATAGGTAGGGAAAAATGGAAGCTGAGTAGTTCAGTGATACTGCCTGCTCATGAAGAGCTAAGTGATTTAATAATTAAGTTCTAGTGGCACTATGCAGTCTGTTTTATAAGTATGCTTATAATTTAAGAAACTGAATGTCATTTAAATAAAAATTTGGTATCGATTTAGGCTTAATAATTATCTCAATAGAAATTGATGTAGCTTATCTCATGTATGTTCTCTTAAGAAGTTATCTAACGTTTGCCTTCATATCTATGAGAGAAATGATCTGTAAATGAGCACTGAGATCTTTGTTAGGCTAAAGGCATATAAATATTTTATGTTCTTTACTGCAAAAGTTTGTAGATCCATGAATGTAGAAAATATTTTCTGTCCCAGAGACCCCTTGGCTAAAGGAATCGGTCTTGTTAGGTGGCTATTCCCAGTCCAGCCAGATCATAATTGTTTGACCATTTGGCCTAAGTGAATTGTATGTCAGGGAGATTATTTCCCAGGAGTAGAGACCCATTAAAAAAAAATTGCGAACAGTGACACTACCTGAGCCATTGTTGTTCGCCTCAGAAAGGCCAATGATTGTATAAACATTGAAGTCTATCTTCCCCTCCCTAGAGACTTCTTCCCCTGTAGTCAGGGCTCCAGCTCTTTGGTGAGTAGTTTGTGCTACTACTGCTTTGCAGGCAGGAGCCTGTGCCTTAGTTTTTCTGTGGCACCAAATGGGCATCTGTCAAAAACATGAAGTTTAAAACAAAGAATCTGGAAAGTTCCAACAACAGCTTGCTTATCTGGTCCTTAACACTTCTGATTTGTGTAATGTATAGATAGCCATCTAAACTAGTGATTGTATGGATGACCAGTATCCTGGCAGCTGAAGAATGCATCGCTTGTGCAGAGAAGGCGGATACAAAATTTGAAAAGTTTAAAACTGGCTGTAGTATTTTCTTTAGTCATGAGTTGTAAACCCTTCAGAATGAAATCATTTCCTTCCACAAAGCCCAGCAGAAGCTTTGTGACGGCTTTTTGGAGGTTTTCTGTTTCAGCATTCAGCTTACAAAGAACATGTTGGCGCTACTAAAAATTCACTTCTTTTAAGCCCTTAGAAGCTTTAACCATATAAAGCTCAGCTGCATTAGCAACCAAAGCATTCCTTAATTGACAGCTGAAAGCAAGTAAATAAATTCTGCTGAGGCACTAATTAAATTATTAATTTTGTAAAAATAAATTATGCTGAGGCACTAGGAGGACTTCCTAAAGAACAGAATTTCTATATGCCAGGGAAACTAAAAGTCATCCCCCAACTTTGTGTCATGTAGCGCATTTGAGTAACAATAACTGTGTTGTGATGTTGACAAGCAAAAACTTCTGCTGTTACCTAAAACATCACTTGGCATGGAGCACCCAGTCACTACCATCTAGTTTTTTGGAAAGCTGTTGTTGTAGAACGACATCCATTTAAAATGAGAGAAAGAAGATCTAGTGCAAATACAGCGCTGGAGAAATTGCCTGCGTCAGGGTGATGTTAATTGTGTCAATATACGAGATGGAAAGGATGCTATTGATGGACTACATCTTCTACTGAGGTTGAAAGTTAACTGGAATTTAAATTGGGTCATATGGGGAAATAGAGAATACAGAAACATCTGGTGCAAAGGCAGCCTGTAAAATAAAGTTACCAGTACAGAGCTCATTGTCAGTCCGGCTGCGGCAATGTCAGGTGCCTGCTGTAGGGGAATGATATCTCCGTTATAATCAGTTTGGAGTGTTAAATAACAGAAAGTCACAAAATAAATGTGTTTGAGTCAGACTCAGGCAGAGGGAACAGCTCGGTTCTGCGCTGTTTCCTGCCTTACCCTTTCTTACGGTTTATTTTCCCTTTAGGAGAGGATCCAGAAACTCGGCGGTTACGAACTGTGAAAAACATTGCTGATCTTCGACAGAACTTAGAGGAAACCATGTCCAGTTTACGGGGAACCCAGGTCACTCACAGGTAATGGCATGACTTCATTTATAAGAAAATAGAAATCATGCTCTTCCATTACATCTCTTAGATCTGGCTGAGTTGCATCCTTTAAAAATTATTAACACTGACAGCGGAAGATACTGATCTTGTACTTCTTGTCTTTAAAGTGCAGATTCTGAATAATGTTCAGTGTTTATTGAGACGTATGATGAGTAATTGATGGTGGCAGGTTGTATATGGAATCAAAGATGGAGAATAATCGGTGCTTGTTAAATATGTTAGGTGATGTTTGAGTATAGGTTACAGTTTAAAATGTTTCTTCATTGTACTCTTGGACAACTTTAGTGCATTACACCCCTCTCCCCCATGTGTAATATTTTGTTTAAATAAGCAGGTGAACTGAGGTTGACCCACTTTATCAAGTGCATAACTTGAATTCCTGACCAGTCGTTGGACAAACAAATTTTTCTAATGTTATTACTCATCCATGTATATAACTGCTTTTTCTTTGTAAAGCAGCACTTGGAATTCTTCAGCAATATTTAAAATATGCTCTAAATAAACAAAGACTTTTATTACATTTAAACATTCCGTGACTCAAATCTTTTCAGTGTTGAACAGGAGGCTTGGGAGAATAAGTTGGTTGGCCCCTAATGAGGTCGGGATCCTAATTAGAACTCAGTGCCTTATGGGCTTCAGCCCTAAATGAGTTCATCAGGGAAACACTTTGTGTTTTGGCTTTGTATCTAAAACTGAGGCAGAGCTTGCAAAGAAGAACTCCCAATGCTGTTTTTCTTTTCAAATTTCCATTAATGTGACAGCTCATAATGATTTAATTACTCTAAGCAGGGGATACATAGTTTTTTGCAGCATATACGTAGCATTATATTGTGAATAGTACAATGCTGCTTATTTTAACGAATATCCAGAATAATAAAAAAATAGAAGTAACACTATGTTAGTTGAACAGGAAAGGAAAAGAGGAGTTCATGTGGGTAAGAGAAGTTGCAGCTATGGATTAGCTGGAAAGAAATTATCTGCAACTAAGCTGCGAGTGTTCAGGGTGTAATCTTGCAATCTATACATGTCACCTGAAATCTCATGGTGTAGCAGCCCCTTTTTTATGGCTCTGTGTAGCAGTCTACATTTAATCAAATGCATTTGTTTTTTTAAGCATACTGGAAACTACTTTTGACGCCTGTGTCACTACCTGGATAAGTGGTCACAGCATTCTCAGACCATATGCAGACCGTATAAGCATTACTGTTGGAAGGGATGCAACAGAATCACCCACTCAGATGTGGAGAATGGAAGATTTCATATAGCTGACGCTTGTCAAAAACTGTATTTACAGGCTGTGACCTAAAATGCTTTTGTAACCAGAGCTCTGCATAAATATTATCAATATTGTGAAAAATATATTCAAGTCATGAATATATAAAATATATTTTGAAAAATAATTTTGTTTTGCCTTCTTATTTTTTCATTGATTCCTTTCCTTACTGTAAAAATAGCTACCATCTTGGTGCTGGACACAACTCCAGAGTATTAGGACTTCCATGAATGTAGTCAAAAGAGAAAATATATCAGAAAAATAGCACTTCAGTTGATTTTCCTTTAGTCAGCCTGATATCCCACTCCCTTGCCTAGAGTAGCAAAACCATGGTTTAATAGAGTTATATATGATTGAAGATAAAAGTTATGCTTTGATACTGTGGATAATCCATTAAAAAGTTCCTGCTTAAGTCTTCTCACGTAAACATTGTACACTTGGTGACCTGGGTACAAGAGTATCATTGTTTAAGAACAGTCTTGGAGGAATGGACCTAACTCTCCGAAGGCGTTGTAGCAGGTAAGTTGTATTAATGCTGTTGCTTACAGTCTGTGACTTGGTGAGCGCTCAGGGTGTTGGGTCTTGCAATCACCTGAAATCTCACGGCGCTCCATGTGGCAGGCCCCATTTCATCAAATGCATTTCTTTTTTTAAGCACATTGGAAACTACCTTTGACACCAACGTCACTACCGAGATAAGTGGCCGCAGCATCCTCAGCTTGACGGGACGACCGACCCCTTTATCGTGGAGACTAGGGCAGTCCAGCCCTCGCTTGCAGGCAGGCGACGCTCCGTCGATGGGCAATGGGTACCCTCCGCGAGGGAACGCCAGCCGCTTCATCAACACGGAGTCGGGACGTTACATGTATTCGGCACCGTTACGGAGGCAGCTCGCGTCTCGGGGGAGCAGTGTCTGCCATGTGGACATCTCAGACAAGGGAAGTGATGAAATGGATCTGGAAGGCATCACCATGGATGCCACTGGCTACATGAGTGATGGGGATGTTCTGGGCAAGAATATCAGAGCTGATGACATCACGAGTGGGTTAGTGCCTTTACTTTTCTTCTTAAATATTATATTTTATGTGATTTTGCAGTTGTGTTTAGTGATGCTGTATGCCTGTGGTTATTTGGAGAAAGAAAAAAAATCCCCAAAGGTATTCTACTAGTTCTAATAAGCATTTGGAGGGACAGGTCATAATCACGGTTAATTTAGTCAGTGGGATTGAAGCACATGGTTTAAGTGCATGTTAAGAAAATATTCCTATAAACGAACGAACTCTTGCACGTGATGAAGTGTTTTCCCGAGTCAGGGTTTGTTCGGGTGTCAACACATGCTGCAAAATTCATTTATGCCCACAAGATGGAGAGAGTGAGGCATTTTCTGTACTTCACTGAACCCTTTCACTGTCTTCACTGGAAGGAAATGAGTTTACATCTCTGTGTAGGGTAAAATAGTTGTACATGCAAAATAAAGTCTAAAGAACAAGTTAGTGTGCAGAAATATAAACTGATAGACAATTGCTAACAAGGTTTGACATCCACATTTTACCTCTGCCCTGACTGGAAAAAGCACTTGTTCTTTGACTCAAAGTCAGTATTCAATTCATTACCTCTGTTTTCAGTTCCTTCTAGAAAGTACAGTCATTTTTTCTTTGCTCAAGTACATCAGCATTGTATGGATTTTAAAACTGATCTGTGAGATGTAAATGGCATATTTATTTTTGTGGCAGCCTTTTCCCTTTCTGGCCATCTTATATCCTCTGCTTTTCTGTGATTTTTTTTTTATAAATGACATTTCTTGTAGTCCTGGCTTATTTGGAAGATTTAATGTCTCTTACTGAAATAGAAAGCTGGAATCCAGCTGCTGCTTTGTCACTAACATAACCAGTTAAGTTACACATTCTGGAAACCTCCATTAATTCTCTCTGTTGTGAATATTTGGATGTTTTCACGCTGTCCTTTTTGAGAAGTCAGACACTTTATTTTTAATTCTTCATTAGGGAAGTACACAGTAAAAAAGCTGATGCAAAAACCAGTATAAAATTCTATTTCAGTTAAAGCACCAGTAGCTGTTGCTGCATTAATAATGCATCATGTCACTCAAGTGCCTTGTGTTTTCCTCAAATAAATCAACTTACACCTGAGTTTGACAAGGTTTACTGTAGTAAGTTACTGCTTTTCCTCTGGACTATGACTTTTATTCAAACTCATGGCTGTAATTTTGGTCTAGAAGTGAGGAAAATAAATTCTGAGTAGCGCCATGGTTTCTATAAAACACCTAGAGTATGAGCTGAGAAGTGTCCCTGGCAGAGTTGTGTCAGTTCAGGCTTGTGCTGCTCATATCCTAGAGGAGCCCCAGTCTTTGCAGGTCTTTACTTAGTGTATAAAGTTCAGATTCCAGGTTGAGGAAAATGAAAGAATGAGAAAGCTTTTGAGTTTTTGAATGATATTTCCAGAGAAATCTGTGCCTTCGCTCATCTCACTGTATCATTTCATTTTCTGTGTCTATCTGGCCATCCTGTAGGGTGAAAAATGGAAGTCTCCACAGTATGAAAATACAAGAGTGGTCTTTAGATTCTGGGTCTAAGGGACTAATAATGTAATAAAATGTATTTGCCAGTTGGTACCTCTATCACCAAAGCAGTAAGTTATATACCAAGAATAATACCAAGAATGATGAATATAACATTTAGCAGAAGAGTCACATACTCCACACCACCTCACTCCTAGGTTTGATTGTTAGAACATCTTTAACTGAGTACCCGAATCTTATTGCCCACTCGTTTTTAAAGGAGGGAGATAACTTTCAGTTTTCACTCGTATAACCAGCCACAGATTGATAAATGAGATCACAATTTAAAGTTCGTAGGACAGGAGGAGTTATGTGTACAAATGTCTTTTTCTTTTCCACATCTTTTACCTTTAGCTACAAAAGCCTATTTTGCTAAGTAATGTGAGTTGGTTTATTGATTTATATAGCACTGTTGTACCAAAAGCAGAATCTGTGTTGTAGGTCAATCCATCATCAGAAAGATCCAGCTCCTTTTCCAGGATGTGGGCAGTTTGGAGGCCGGGGGGTTTGGAGGTTCTCTCACTGCTCCACCAGTAGGCATTGGGAGGGAGTGTGCCTGGAAGCAGCCCCACAATTCTGGGGTTACATAGTCTGTGGAGAGTAATCATGTGTGCAGATTCCCCTAGAAGGGAGTATTGCAGTACTGAATTGCAGTAACAGCATTGGATATATTCCCAATAACAATGGAGAGAGATAAAAAATAAGAGTGTTACCTTTGGGGAATCTCACTTACACCTAAAAATGCTGGATTACCATCTCCAGTATGAACAGATGTTTTGGTAGCCTGTTCCATAAGTTATCTTCCCCAATGTCAGTTTATTCCCAATAATAAAAAAACAGGATAGTGTTTTGTCTTTGTGGGAGAGGAATAATACACTGCTTAGAAATCGGAGAGGTTGCTTGTAAAGAAGGCATCCATGTGACTTGCTGCAGAACAAATCTCTGAGATCAGTGCTAGGGCGAACAGGCCCAATATTTCCAGAAGCTGAGTTACAGTATGTGGAAAGCAGCACAAGAGGGCATTTATAGCATGAATAGCTCTTTATTAGCTGGTATGTGTTTCACTTTGTCATTTTTCAGAATTGCTGCAATCCTGCAGTCTGAAAACCTTGGATCTGTGTTTTCATTGGCAAACTGATAGGGAAGGAAGCCAAAATATTTGTTACAGCCAAAATAAATCCAATAGCCAAGACAAACTATTTTAGCCCTGTGATCCTGGTGCTTTCTCTTAAATGTCCTGGGTCATGGGAAGTTTCGTTTGGCCTCCTTTAATAAGTCTGCTCAAGCAGAGCCCTGGCAGACACCAGGATTGCTTTCACAGGGTTAGAAAGAGTATCTTTTCCAGGCAGAAAATATCTCTGAAACTAAGGATGTCTCCAGGGAGTGGATTAAAGGTAAGAAGTTGTCTTATTGTGGGAGCTAAAACATTAACCAAACGACAAAGCAGCAGGACTAGAGCTTGTGTGCGGTGGGGAGCAAGCACCCAACCCACCTCCATCGGTGGCTGTCTGAGCTCAAGGCTTCAGAGCCTCATTAAAAAGTGGCACCTCAAAGCCCAGAACTGTCTTGCCTATCAACCCCAAAGATTGTCCCAAGTGGGAACATTAACTCTCATGGCTTTTTTGGGTTTGTTCGGAAGGTTTTGTCCACTTCAGTCTCCCTCTAGCTACTTACATACACATTCCTGCCTCTTCTTGTCCTTCCCCAGACCCTTTATTTCTAACGAGATGTAGAGTTAATTTCCCTTTTATCTGTTCTTAGAACGGGCCAACAGAGCTGTTGGTCAGAAAGCCCTTTAAAAATTCTTTTAATTTAATTAGTCCTCTGCCGCGTTTTTTTTTTACCCTAGTGTACAGCTTTCTATGCAGAATTAACAGTGTGGATATACTGATTAGTACTGGTCACAAATTTTCTCAGGAAATGGCTTTGAGTCTGCAAACACAGCTTGTCAAAACAATTTTTTGCAGAAGCATGGCTGTTCCAGCTATGTTCCAACAAAATGTAAATATGATGATTTGACAGCTCAGCCACCTTAGAGCCTGATCTTGAAGGCAGGGCAAATATGGACAGCCCCATGTGTGGACTGTGAGCCTGCTGCATGCCAGGCTGGGCTTTGGGGCAGGCAGGGCTCACTCTTTTCAGTGTATCTCATTAAGAAATGTTGTCTAGTGACCCTCTTGTACCTCATTTAGCCAGCCTAGCAGCCAACTGCTCCCTCAATTTTTAGATGAGGACAGAAGGGCTCAGCCTGCATACAGTGTTCAGGGGCTAAAATTCTTGCAGCGACCTCCAATGGGTACAGTGGCTGCTGTCAGGGGAGGGAGAGGCTTTTTACCATTTTATTAACCTGCCCATTTATTTGATGCTTTGAGGCCAATACATTCCCATTCCAGGTGTCTTTCCACAACCACTTAATGTGTTTGTGTGCACGATGCTCATGGGATTATGACTCTTTCTTGTTTATTCAAGCCTTTATGCTCTCCAAGGATCTTTCTACAAGCAGGTGAATTGGGAACATGGATGAAAAGATGCTAAAAGGGAGAGCAGGCAACTCTGGACTGGGAAATCAGGTTTTAACTCCCTGCTTCTGCTCAGGTCATTCAAATCCACACAAAAGCTTAGTGCCCTAAGGTAGAAATCATCTTTGTGGTGCAGAGGCCTGTCTGCCCCCGAGTAACATGGACGATAACCGTCATTGAAATACAGTTCTGTTATAGGCTGAAATTTAGGAGTTATATCTATTAGGAGGCAAAGAAGAGTTTGATATGAACAGCTGAAATTGAGGACTGATTTCATTCAGTGTTGAAATGTAATTGAGATCTGCAGGATTCTTGCAGCTCAGTTGCTTGATTTTATTCTATTTATCGGTCAGATGGTGATGCACCATTTTCAGATGTCAGGCTCATATGTGGTGTAACAGACCTTCACTTGGGCTAATGTTTTAGAAAAAGAAGAGGACTATGCAGTTTGCTGCTAATGAGAATTTGATCTTGGTAACAGGAGTTAACAGAAACCATTTCCTTCTAAGCTGTCTGCAACAGGAATGGTTGCTGCTCCAGGTAATGTGTGGCTATCTAGAAATCAAGAGTGGCAGAGGTAATGGTGGTCTGAATGAGAGCCTGTTCACCCTGTACAACTATTCAGTGCTAGCTATAGTCTTTTCTGACCTATTTCTTGCCACGGTGATTACCACTGTGTATTTTCTATATGCTTTGAGTTACAGTGGGTTAGTCATTTTACTGGACATTGCTCTTGAAATAGTATGATCTTAGTGATAAAATTTCATCTAAAGATAGTGGATGGGTAAAACTGGATTCCTTGTATGGCTATAACACTTGAACATGACTAAGAATTATTAGCAGGTTTATTTTATTTTTCATCTCTGTTTGTGTAGAGTGTTTATTTGAACTGCCTTCTGTCTTGCTAGGACTGGCTTCTTGCATTTTGATCTTTTCAACATTGCAGAATAG